TATTTAAAAACGTAAAACTTATAAAGTGTTAGAGCTGAAAAGACTTTTGGTAACATCTGGTCCATATGCCGGTTAATGCTGAGGAAATGGAGGTCCATTGTTTGCTCATATTAATGTCCTAAATAAAGAGAACCTTAACTATGGTATTGAGACTAGGAAACACCCTTGTTACTGAGAACTGTTTCCACTGAGCAAATGACAATGAATTCCTGTCCAGGCACAATGTAATTGTGAAAGTGCATTGCACAGGGGTATCTGCCAAAGCACTGAGGGGTTGGAAATTTGGCACACAGTCTGTTTGCCAAACTGTGAACCTTTGGAGTGGTCTCTGCCTAGAGCGGTGCCTTTTCTTAATTTGGCCGAAGGTACCCAATGGTATGGTAGAGGACTGGTCCTTATCCATGGGATTCTTGACCAACTCTCCCTGGCTGACAGCAGCATTGCTGTTGTGGGGCAGCATCCTGGGCAGCTGACTGAATGCTGTTACTGGAGCCCCAGCTGCTCTTCTCTTGACTTTCCGGCAGAGACTGGTCAATTACTGCAGATGGGAGATGGCTGGTCTTCCCTTCTATCCACTTGCCTCTCAACCCACACTTTCCTTGCTGGAGACAAAGGAAGTTATTGGTGGCAAATTGTTTGCACTCCCAGGTTTTCTTCTTCTGGGGTCTTAGGTAGGAAGCTTGCGGGACTCTTACTGAATGCTGACATTCCCTACTTTACCTTATGGAGGTTAGTGTTCTGATGCCCTCTGTTATTGTGACATGGAGAAGGGTTATAGCCATCTCCTGACTTTTCCTTAGGTCACCTGCACTCCTTTCTGGTCTCGTAGTCTATGGTCAACTCAGTAACACCAGGCCCTTGGAGGCCCCCTTCGGCCTCCCCTGGGCCTGGACCAGTGATGGTTGCAGGGTGGGCAGCAGCCTTATTCCAAGGGGTCGATGGCAGAGCTGTCAGCGAAGCTGAACAGGAGGTATCCTCGTGATTTGAGTTGTTTCTTGATGAAGACTCAAAAGCAAGGTCTAGCAGTTCTAAAACCCTCCTTCCATGGAATGCTGTGTTTGATTTTGTCTGTAGACTCCTCATCCTTTCCAGGTGCCTCTGATAAAGTAAATCTGTTATGAGGACCCACAAATGGAGGCTGCCCCAGTGGCCCAGGCCATCACAAATCTAAACCTAAGTCAGCCTGCACTTGTGGAAACATCTGTCAAGGACACCTAACATACACCAATCACAGTCCTCAAACAGCTTTAGCAAGCTTACCTTACCCTAGAAAACAGTTCCTGCTAGCCTTATAAGGAATCCCTCCCCCTGTTTCCTAGCCAGTCATGCCCTTTTCTCTTGTTGCCTCTTCTAATGCCTGTAGGAATAGAAAAATTTTCCTTCTACCCTTCTAGGTTCTTTGGCTGGTCTAATAATCAAATTGACATAAGGCAGATCAACAGGAGAAAAACTAATTTCATATGTGTGGGAGCCCCATAAAAATATGAGAATATGGAACCCAAAAAGCTAGCCAGGTAGTTAAGGCTTATATAACATCCTGAGCTAAGGAAAAGAGTAGCGGTTTAGGGATACAAAGGGGAGAAAGGCCATTTACAGGAAAGAAGGGGATGTTTGAAAAACAAAGGTTGCCCTGTTATACAGATGAGTTTCTTAGGTAAAAAAACTATCTCTAGTAATAGCTCTCTTCCTGGAAGTGGCTGCCTTTCCAACGTAAATGTAGGCAGTTGAGGGGGAGGTATAGAATTTTTCCTGAATCTGCTGGGTATTGATTACCTTTAGCTCAAAATAATCTTCACACCAAAGTGGCATGCTTTGGGGTGACAAATTCCGCTCCCCTTCATGCTCTATGGAACTTGCTCTTGCCCACACCCCTTGGGAAGACTGCTGCAGTGATTGTGAGGCATTGTATGCCCCCAGTCCATGGATTGTTTTCCCTTGACTAAAGGACATCAGACTCATTTTGAAATTGTTTTAGTTTTGTCATTTGAACCTCTCCTGTCCCCTAGATCACCACAACATTCCTGAACGAGGGCCGGGAGGTCTGTGTCGGGGCATGCCCCATTCTTTGTTATCCCTCCCCTCCACCCTCTGAAATTCTAAATGTCCTGTGTTGCTTCTAGAAAGGGCGGTGGGAAGAGGGAAGACAAGGAGTCTTGTATTCTCCTAAAAGGCTGAGTGTATGTGTGAAAGGGGAGGGAACAAAGGTGTGGGTGGGGAAAGAATGGTATGAACTGGAACCACAATCTCCTTTACAAGAACATAGCAACCTGCAACCCACAGCAAGGTTCTGACACACTCATTAGGAAGCCCTTATCCAGGTGTGCTTCCTCCTGGAAGCCTTTGTTACACACTTGAAATAGCAAGTTCTTGGAGTCCAGACCTCCTAGTGTCAGCTAGTCCTCTTGCTCAGCCCTAGACCCCAACAGTTAAAACCAGAAATAGACAAGACCCCTTAACTGATGCTCTACCTGAAACCCATTGTTCTTATTTCTGAGGCATTGGTGAAGATATTTTGTAGTGATTGGAAAATTCCACCCACCAGGCCAGAAAAGCCCTAATAGTGATGGAATGCCTAGAAGTCCCTACCCCACCTGTCCCCTTCCCCACCCATGATCGTGTGCTGAACATCTGCCGACCCCCATCTATGATCACATGCTGTCTGCCTGCTCTCTTGCACGTACCCCCTGAACCTCTCTCCCTATGAGAAGGTATCTCTCTTGCCGGCAGAGGGGTCAGGTGTTAGGGCTTGAGCCTGCCACCTGCACCTGCTGCAGGCACCCAAAATAAATCTCTTCCATTCTCTTTTCTAAACCCTTCTCTCTTGAGTTTTGGCTTCTCTTACAATAAGTTTACCTGAGTTTGTTCAGCAGCAGTGTTGGAAAACCCAGCCAGGAACTTTGCTTTCTGTTTGTCTAGCATCCTTGAGATTCCCTGGGAGGGAACAGCTGAGGCAGTGCACCAGGGCTCACCCATGTGTTTCCTGAGTTAGTGATGACCAGTAACACTAGTACTGATTTTTCAGCCTTGGACAAATCAGTGAACCTTTTTTTTTTTTTTTGAGATTTTACTTATTTATTTGACAGAACACAAGCAGGGGGAGGGGCAAAGCAGGGAGCCTGACAGGGGACTCCATCCCAGGACCCTGGGATCATGACCTGAGCTGAAGGCAGACGCTTAACCAACTGAGCCACCCACGCACCCCTCAGTGAACTTTTTTGTGCTTCAGTTTCATCCTTTTTTTTTTTTTTTTACGAAAGGGAGGTAGGGGGAAGGGCAGAGGGAGAGGGAGAGAGAAAATCTCAAGCAGACTCCATGCCCAGTGTGGAGCCTGTTGTGGGGCTCTATCTCAACCCGAGATCATGACCTGAGCCAAAATCAAGAGTTGGATGCTCAACCGACTGAGCTACCCAGGTGCCCCTCATCATTTTTAAAACAGAGATAATAATATTGCCTGGGTTGTTATGAAGATCACATTGAAGAAATTACCAGACAAAAATAAAGTGCCACTGTTACTACATTTTGTCTGTTTTACGATGGTAGTGATTTTAAGAGGCATCATTATTTTAAATACCACTAAGGAAGAAAAAAATCCTGTCAGTTATCCACAGCACCTCATTTTCTTGTCAGAAAATTTCTGCACATTTAAATTTATTTGGACAGATTTTTATCATAAATCATCCTTGTGCATTGGTAAAAAGGAACTCTAAGTGAATATAAAGTAAGGTGCTCTTAAATTTCCCTACAATCTTGATCTACTTCTGCTGAATCATTTGTCAAGGCTGAGTTTTTCCCACACAGCATTGCCTGTGTATCATCATGAGCATTAGGGATGCAATATTTCTTAAAAGAGTGCTTCATACTGTCTTTCTTCCAAGCCAAGATTACCAGTTCTGCATAATCAATATGTACATACAAGCAATGGTATCTATTTCCTGCCCAGTGCTTGACCAACTTAAGACATCCTGATTCCAGGGGTCAAGTATGAAAATATGTAACTTACAGGATTGACAAAATATAGTAGTATAATTGATTTCATCTTATTTCATAGGTTTGGGTTTGGAAGGGGAGCAAGTGTTGGGGATGAAGAATTTCCTCTGCCCTTTACGGTCCTTCTAGCTGGACTAAGAGTCAAATTGACAGGAAACAGTTAACAGGAGGAAATCAAATTTAATAGTGTACGTATGGGGAATCCACACAGGCATGGAAATTCCCAAGACAGTCAGGCACAATGAGGCTTATATGATGAGCTAAAGAGAGGGGTAGAGGTCTGAGAATACTAAGGGGAGAAAGACCACTAGCAGGAAGGTGAAAGGAGGTGTTTGGAAACCACAGGTAGAGAAGTTTCTTAGGTAGAGAGGAATCTTTGTTAATATTTCTCTTCCTGGGGCGCCTGGGTGGCTCAGTTGGTTGAGCCTCAGACTCTTGATTTTGGCTCAGGTCATGATCTTAGGGTTGTGGGATTAAGCCCCACATCAGGCTCTGTGCTCAGCGGGGAGTCTGCTTGAGGTTCTCTCCCTGTACCTCTGCCCCTTTCCCTGCTCACACACGTGTGTGTTTGTGTATGTGTGTATGTACACACGTGTGTGTTTGTGTATGTGTGTGTGCTCCCTATCTCTCTCAAATAAATAAATCAATAAATCTTTTAAAAAAATAGCTCTCTTCCTGGTACAAGTAGGCGATTGAGAGGTGATAAAGAGCTTTTCCTGAATCTGCTGGGTTTGGATTGCTTTTAACTCAAAATAGTGTTCGTGCCAAAGTGGCCCATTTTGGGGCTGCCTGCCCTTGGCCCTACAGAAGCATGAAAGCCTCTGTCTCATCTCAGGAACTGTACTTTCTGTTTGCACAAACTTGGGGTGGGTGGCTTGCCTGGAATAGGGCCCTGTGGTGTTAACAGGACAGGCTTCCAGTGACATGAATAAATCCTACAAATAATTTTGTGTGTTTCCTCATTTACGTACTCTTTTTCTTCCTTCCTCTCTGCTTTCTGATTTTCCTTTAAGTTCCCGAGTCCAAATCTGGTTCCTAAGAAACATCAAAGGAAGCCTGCACTGGAGGCCCCCGGGTCTCCTCGGAAGCCGGACTGCATCCACTGTGTGAGACGGGATGGCACCCCCCACCAGTGTGCCCTCGTCATTGCTGCTGCTGACGGCTGTTGCAGGTAGGAAACCATCACCCTGGAGACCCTAGTATTGCACACGAGCCTCCTGTCTTTGGCTTAAACGACTCAGATCAGAAACAAGGCAGAGGATTCTAGGGGAAGGGAGGGAAAAATGAAACAAGACGAAACCAGAGAGGGAGACAAACCATAAGAGACTCTTAATCACAGGAAACAAACTGAGGGTTGCTGGAGGGGGAGTAGGGGTGATGGGGTAACTGGGTGACGGGCATTAAGGAGGGCACGTGATGTAATGAGCACTGGGTGTAATATGTACCCAATGAATCACTGCCTCTACCTCTGAAACTAATAAACAAACAAACAAACAAAAACAAAACAACTCAGATAACCTGAAATGAAGGTGCTGTGTGTTTGCTTTCCAACAGAATTATTTTACATATAAAAGGCACGAAGGCAGACCTCATGCACAAGTGGTTTTCTGGCAACAGGAATTTAAATAGTTTTTTATTGTCATGACGATTTTTGAAAAGATAGAGTCATGTTTTATATATACTAGGGAAACTTTGTATATTTTCAAAAAGTAATTGCGTAATAGATCTTTTTGGAAAGCAAATGCCCACACTCTCTTTTATGATTAATCTTTATTTTCTTTTTTTTTTTAAAGATTATTTATTTATTTATTTGAGAGAGAGAGAATGAGAGAGAGAGAGCATGAGAGGGGGGAGGGTCAGAGGGAGAAGCAGACTCCCCGCCGAGCAGGGAACCCGATGCGGGACTCAATCCCGGGACTCCAGGATCATGACCTGAGCCGAAGGCAGTCGCTTAACCAACTGAGCCACCCAGGCGCCCTGATTGATCTTTATTTTCATATATTCTGCTCTGCTTGCTTACTGTGGACATACCCATGATACAAAATCACTGGTGAGCAGCAATTCTGGTGATCCGTGTCCTGGCTGGGTCAGCTGGAGTCCCTTGGAATTCACCGATGACTGAGGGTGGAGATATGGCCAGGGAAACTGATTTTATGTGAATAGGTTATCAGAGTGTGGTGAAGCCATCATGAGGCTTACCTGTGTTCAAAACAAAACAAAACAAATTCAACTGAGTAAATTTAAAGATCTAATTAGCTTTATTCATTCGTGAATTGGGCAGCATTCCATCTAGAAGGCAGAAGGGAGCTCTAAGGAGCTGTACAAAATGGAAGGATTTTATAGGCAGAAGGAGGCAAGGTCACCTTCCCTTAGGGCAAGGCAGGCAGAAGACCTCAGGAGTAGATCAGGACATTCCAGACTGATGAGTCTCAGTTGCATTCCTGGAAGAGACTGACTCTGCAGTTACAATTAGGTCATCTCTGTGGGGCTTAACATAAGTGATTCCATTTTGGGCCTGTTTCTCTTTGACACTGAGAGTGACCCTTGTTAAAATGCAGTTTTATCTGCATTCAGACCTACTGAACCAGAGCAGGTGTGGCTCAGGGGTCTGAAGCAGCTAAATTATTATAAGCACTGTTGGTGTATATAGGGGCCCTTCAGAAAACGCTCCCACTGGAAAAGCCTGGTCCTTCCCCAATAGATTACTAATGTTTGAGCACTCCTTTTTTTTTTTTTCTCTCTCAAATCCCCACTTTTTCATTCCTTTTTGTCTTTTTCTTGTGATTTTTCCATTAATTTAAAATTCCTGAATTACTTTATTAGGAACATTATTTGCAATTTCTTTGTCTTCCCTCTCTATCCTCTCTACCTTTGACAGAATGCTAGCCAATGATTTCATTGATTTATCAACAATCATGGAGTGACTATGTTCCTAGATTGGGCTGGGACAGTGTAGAGGGTACGAACATGAGTAAGTCTTCTCTGGTCTCTTCAAGAGCTTTTGTTGAGTGAGTCTGATAGAGTCTTAAGTAATTATGGCCACTTGGCCCAACAGAAGCATGGTTTAGTTGTTGGAAACCCTCTCAAACTTCTTTATTGAGCACTAAGACCTCTGTGTAAGGTATGTCTGTCCATACAGATCATTCAGGTGATTTTTTTTTTTTTTGCAGAACAAAGGGATGATGTACCCCCAGAAGTGTATGGCAGTCTCCACCTGATTGAAAACTACTTTAAGCTTTTCCAAGGCTTCTGCCATGGAAAGTTCTCCTTAGGCACTGAAACAGTTTGCTTGCTTTAGGATCACAGCCTGCCTTCTGTACGGTGGTTTCTGACACAGTTTTACAAGTTGGCTTTTGAGCTGCCTGGTGGCCAACGCCAGAAATGAGACATGGCAGTTTTCTGTGGATCACACTGTCCAAAAGAAGATGACCTAACAGTTTTTCCAGGGAAATAAAGCATATCCTACCATGTGTGTTTGGAAGAAGTTTCTAGCTTGGGTCTTCAAAGGCCACTCAGGGATGTAGTGGTATCTTTACAAATAAAGGCAATATTTTTGAGAGTAGAGGTGGGAGTCCGAGATTACCTGTCTGTTGTACACCATCAGTTGGTTTTAATTAAAGATGCTATTTTTTTATGTTCAGCTGGAGGGTTTTTTCCCCCCTCTATATCCGATATTAAGCTTTTTGTTAGAAATTAAAAGGCTAGGGGCGCCTCTTGGCTCAGATGGTTAAGCAACTACCTTCGGTTTAGGTCATGATCCTGGAGTTCCAGGATCGAGTCCCGCATCGGGCTCCTTGCTCAACAGGGAGTCGTCTTCTCCCTCTGACCCTCCCCCATCTCATGTGCTCTCTCTCTCTCTCTCTCATTCTCTCTCTCTCAAATAAATAAATAATCTTAATTTTAAAAAAAGACTATCTTTGCCTTAAAAAAAAAAGAAAAGGCCAAAACTATTAAGTAGATTTGCATTTGAGAAAATATCCTTCCAGTTGAATTAGTTTGTTGCTAGATTATTCATTTGGAAAGATGCGTATCTGTTACATCTAATTCCTATTAAATTGGACCAATTAGACTTTCCTGTAGAGTCAGTGTTTGGCACTGAACAATTCTTCAAAGTGTATAATGATGATCACGTATATACAGGTAAAAATAAAAATGACTCCATTTCTCTTCCCTCCAGTCAGAAGTGCTCTCTGATTGTCACTATGAGGAAAATAACAGTAATTTAAAAAATTGTCAGTGACAAGCCCTCACTAGGAAAGAAATCTCTACCAACAAATAAAGAATAAAAGTGACTTTGCCTCTGGATTTCAGGGAATGACAGACTGCTGCTGAAGGTTCTGAAAGTCTCAGTTGCTGTCATTTTGTCTTGTGGGCCTGCACCCTGTGTCTGCAGAACACGGGGTAGCTGCCCTCGGACCGGTCCTGTTTGCCGACTGGGAATATTTGTAGCTATTTAGAATCTGATTAACGGTAGTTGTTACAGGGGCGCCGGGGGGGGCTCAGTCGGTGAAGCGTCTGCCTTCAGCTCAGGTCATGATCCCGGGGTCCTGGGATCGAGCCCCGCATCGGGCTCCCTGCTCAGCCGGGAGCCTGCTTCTCCCTCTCCCTCTGCTGCTCCCCCTGCTTGTGCCCTGTCTCTCTGTCAAATAAAAACCTTTAAAAGAAAACCAAAAGACTAGTTGTTACAGATCTGTATTGAGGACAAGTTTTTCTCTCCTTTGATATTTCCCCGTCAACTGACCTATCATCAGAATAACCTGTGAGATTAAAAAAAAAAAAAATCAGTTTAACAGCAGCAATAATATGATGTTGTCCCCAGAGTAAACCTTTATAACTGACTTTTGGGTGAGGAGCAAAATATTACAAATAATATAAAAGCAGGACACGGTTGGAAAAGAATGCTTCTGCTCAGTCCGTGAAAGAGCACGGAGAGAGGACGGAGGGTCCGGCGGGCAGGTGGGCGGCGGGCAGGACAGAAGGGGGGGCTGGGGGGGCGAACGTGCGACGGGTGTGGGACGAGGCCTGCGAGCGGCGCAGGGACCTCCTGTTGGGAGTGCCGGTGGTTCGGTGCTCGTCGGCACCGCTTGCCGCCTTTCCTCATCGGAGACCGCGTTGTTCGCAGGTTGTGCCTGTGGCCCGTGCCGCGAGGGGAGGACGTTCGCCAATGCCATCATTTCGCCGGACCTGGCAACCACCAGGATCGCGCGGGGGCCTCCGGGCACCCCCGCGGTGGACTGCACGGCCGCGTGCTGTGAGCTGGCCGGCTGCGACCTGGCCTGGTGGTTCGAGGGCCGCTGCTACCTGGTGAGCTGCCCGCGCTCCGAGAGCTGTGAGCCCAAGACCGTGGGCTCCCTCGGGTCCTTCCTCACCTTTGTGCGCAGGCCGGCGCGGCTGCTGGACCGCGGGGCCATGCTGCTCAACAGGGGTGCGCCCTCGGGACTCTGGGGCGACGCGCCGGAGGAGATCAGGAAGGACTTGCCCTTCCTAGGCCAAGAGCGGGGCCCAGAGGAGACGCCGGAGTACTCGGACGACTACGGGGAACCCGAGCAAGCGCCCGTGCGGCCCCTCGGCAAGCCGGGGCCCAGAGGGAGCGCCGAGCACACGGCCTGGGGCCCGCGCCGGGGCGGCCAGGCCGGCGGCAGCCTTCCAGGGGCCGCCGAGAAGCAGGACCACCCTGCGCTGCATCCGCTGAACGCGCCCCCATGGGCCGCGGCCCCACAGCAGTCTCCGGGGAGCGGCTCGTTGCCATCCTCGGTGACAGTTCCACCTTGGGGAGAGGCCTTGGGAAAGGAGGCCTTTCAGCGCCAGGAGCGACCCAGCGCCGGCTCTGGAAGAGAGGTGGGCCTGGCTGCTCGGGGCTGGGAGGTGGCTGGGAGGGGCTGTGTGGGCTGGAGGCTGGGCGCCTGGGAAGAGAGCTCCCAGAGCCTTCCAGGGAACGGAACGTCCTGTTCCTCTGCTGTGCCTTCAGGGAGCCCAGGGTGTAAAGAACAGGGCTTCCACCCTCGAGCCAGTCATCTCATGATGACTTAGCACTTCTCCCTCGCGATGCCTCTCCCGGGATCTCCAGTCTCCCCGGAGCAGGCCCAGAGGCACAGCACACTTTTCCAAAGAAAACCCACAGGCCCCAGATGGAGTTGATGAAGTTTTAGAATATAAGTGAGGTTCGGCCATGTGAGGTCCGGAGCCGACGACCAAGAAAGAGTTCTTGAGACGTCTCTGGTGCAAAAAGGTGGTTTTATTAAACCCCGGGGACAGGACCCATGGGCAGAAAGAGCTGCTCCGGTTTGTGAGGTGTGGTTGACTTTATACTTGGGAGCTGGGGAGGTGAGAGTCCAGAAGGACTGTTGTATGCTAAAGACTCTCGGGGTACTGGAGGCCTAGTTATCGTCAAGCCAAGGCTGTTTTCCCCTCTAATGAGGCACGAACAGGAAGACAGATGGGGGTTTCCTGGAGGAATGTTACATTCCTCCTATCACACGTCCTTGTCAATGGGCTTCAGGTTTAGAAGAAATTCAATTTATTTGCATTTCCTTCCGCCTCAGCCTCCCTTAATTTTATGGAGGGGAGGGTGATGTTAGGGCTTCAGGAACCGAGTTATGGGTCTCTGGAAGTTAGGCTATTGATGAGAAAGCTTCCTTGTAAATCACTAGGACATTTGTAAACTGAGGGAGACTCCTGTCCTGCAGGACTGTGATCTTATCAGTTAACCATTCGTTTTTCCTTTAGGGCAGCCGGGAGTGCCTGAGGAATGTCACACATACCACATGGGGGGGGGAGGTGTAGGGGGTCAGCTGCTGCTTTGTCCTCAGCGAGCCTTCTGCTCCCTCATCATTATCAGTTACCTACAATTGATAGAGTTGTAAAATAGCTCAAATACAAGAAAGTCTAGAATCAGAGAACTGGGAAAGCCTATAGACAGTATTTCATTTTCCACTGAAATACAAATTTTGCCCTTCATTCACATTAATTTTTTTTGAACTGAACTGAGTTGTAGATAATCCTTGAATTAGTGTTGATAAACATTAGATCTGCAGCATAAGAAATATAATTTTATTCTGCTAAAGTAGAAAGTTTGGAATTAATGACAAAAACAGAGATTTCTTCTCTCACCAAAAAAGTATTTAAAATAGTACAATTGTATTTAATAAAGGTGCCATGAAAATCCCATGGGGAAAAGAATAGTCTTTTCAATAAATGGTACTGGGACAACTGGATATTTCCATACAAAAACTGAATTTAGATCCCTACCTTACGCCCCATAAATTGACTCAAAATGGATTGAAGGGTATCAGAATATGTGACCCCAAAATATGCCCTTTTGGCGTAAGGATGACTTGAACTGCTTATTTTTGAGACAATACACTAACAAGAGAAGCTCTTAAAAGCAATTTATCCTTTTATAAGGGAACTTTACATTTATAAGGGAAATCTCCATTTGTAAGCCTCTCCTCCTCTGAACTAGGAAGAGGATGATTCCAAATCAGTACAAACTCTTATTGCTGGACAAGGCAGGGACTGACACCTGTATGTATAACAACCTTACCTTTATTTTCTGTGTTCTTCATGGAAACCTCTCATAACTGGCCCCCCACCTCCAGCATCTCTCTTTGTCTTCTGTAGAATCGCTTCCTTATATAATTAACTGAATAGCATTCATCTTTAGGGACATGCAAATCAAAGCCATGGTGAGATACCACTTCCTCTGGGTAGCTAGAATTTAAAAGAAAGAGAACAAGTATTAGTAAGGATGGAGAAATGAGAACCCTCAGGCACTGCTGGTGGGAGAATAAAATGGTTTAGGCACTTGGAAAACAGCCCAGCAGTTCCTCAAGAAGATAAACATAGTGGGGCACCCGGGTGGCTCAGTTGGTTGAATGTCCAACTCTTGATTTCTGCTCAGGTCCTGAGATCACGACCTATGAGATCACTCTATGCTGAGCATGGAGTCTGCTTAGGATTCTGATTCCCTGGCCCTTTGCCCCTCCCCAACCCCTGCTGGCACACCCGCGCTGTCTGTCTCTAAAAAAAACAAAACAAGGGGCCCCTGAGTGGCTCAGTCAGTTAAGCGTCTGCCTTCAGCTCAGGTCATGATCCCAGGGTCCTGGGATCGAGCCCCACATCAGGCTCCCTGCTTCTCCCTCTCCCCCTGCTTGTGTTCCCTCTCTTGTTGTGTCTCTCCCTGTCAAATAAATAAATAAAATCTTTAAAAACAAAACAAGACAAGACAAAAACCTTAAAAAAAAAAGATAAACATAGAGTTATCATATGACCCAGCCACTCAACCTCTAAGTCTTTACCCAAAAGGAACGAAAGCATTTGTACATACAAGGACGCATAACAGCATTATTCATAAAATAGTGCGACTGAACAGGACAAATTCAAAAAATGTGAAACACATCCAGATTAAATTCGTAGAGGATAAACGATGTTTCCTGCAGTTTTGTTTTCAAGTGCGCAAGACCAGAGAAATGCACCTACAAGAAGGTGTTTCACAGTAATTAAGAATAGAAAAAAAGAAACAAGGCATTTGAGACTCTTGCTGACCAAGCCAGATGTAAATTGAAGGTCGAAATGGAGAGCGGGGGGTGCCCATTGCTTCCATGGAGGATCCATTTTCTTTGGGTGGGGTATGTCAAGGAGGACCTGCATGCTGACAACTTAGCCAGGAGCTCTCTGTGGAGGCCATGGACACAGGGCCCAAGAGTGAGTGAGGAACTGGCATGCCCTTCCAGCCTCGAGAGGGGCCGTGGTGGGAAAGGAAACGGTCTGGAGAGGAGGCAGGAGTGGAGTCGTCCCCTCAGCCGTGACCTGGTGGAGGCTGTGAACCCTTCAAGTGGCGCCTTAATGTTTCCCACCACTATCTATGGACTCCATTCTTTATTTCAACTTGGTAGTAATTTTTCAGGACTCTCTACAACTAAAAAGTCTGGTTTATCTTGTGGAATCTACAGAGGCTGTGGGGTCTCTTGATCGGATGGGAGGGGCCGCCAAATGTGGGGCAAGCTGGTCAGGTGGAGGCCAGCGGCATGGGTAAGAATTCACCCAGGGCAGAACAGAGGAGATAGAAGTTTACTGAACACTGCAAGGGAGCTGTGGGCAGGACAGCAAAGCAGAGAGGGCTGCCAGGAGGCGGTGGTGGGGGGCTTTGGTTAAGGGGGAATTGTTGGGGGGGGAAGGTGAGGAGGTGTGGGGACGTATGCAGTTTTCCCTTTTTGGGACCTGTGTTCAGGTGTTAGTAGCCCATTGATCACCTGGGGTTATGGATATTTTGAGGTGTGTCACCTTAGAGCCTGTCTGTATTCAGGCCAGGGGGTTAGGGGGCCACTGTGGGCCCTTCTCCCTTACTCAGGTTTCTATTCTCTACAGAGGCACCACGATAATATGCTGTGAACACCTGTTCCAGAGCTCTGGTTTTCAGGGATTCTGAACTTCCTACTATTCTCAGCACAGATGCGATGAACAGTCTCTTATATTAGCACTCACTTTACAAACCGTGATATCTGAAACCTCAAAGAAACCAAGCATCTTAAAATTGTGGTCGACCCTGTAGGGGTTCAGAATGTCATCCCCAAACATGGCGCTTTGGCATATTGATTATTTTGAATTAATGGTACCTAGGAAACGACGGTGTAGGAAGGACAATCTGACCCACCTCCCTGTGCCAGGAGGGCATTTAGGAGAGAAGATTGTATTCAAGAAGACAATATACACAAACCCTGTTCCTTCTTTACCGTTAACTGCCCCCAAGTCCAAACCCCTTTGTCTTGTCAATTCTTCACAAATCTATTATTTCTTTGTCTGAAATGTATTAAATCTTCTGTTTTGGTCATCTCTTTGCATCTCCTATCCTTATGGGATACCTGTACATACATAATTAAATTTGTTTTTCTTCTGTTAATCTGCCTTTTTATCATGGGGAGTGGTGGTCTCACCCAAAAAGCTAGACGGGTATAAGGAAAATTAATTTTCTTTTCCTATAACCCACTACCTGTTTTTCTTTTTAACATATAATGCATTATTTGTTTCAGGGGTACAGGTCTGTGATTCATCAGTCTTACACAATTCAGAGAGTTCACGATAGTATATACCCTCCCCAATGTCTATCACCCAGCACCCCCATCCCTCCCAACCCCTCCACTCCAGCAACCCTCAGTTTGTTTCCTGAGATTAAGAGTCTCTTATGCTTTGTCTCCCTCTCTGGTTTCCTCTTGTTTCATTTTTCCCTCCCTTGCCCTATGATCGTCTATCTTCTCAAATTGCTCATATCAGTGAGATCATATGATACTTGTCTTTCTCTGATTGACTTATTTTGCTTAGCATAATA